GGGGGTGTAGATACGGGGGTGCTAAAGTGCTAAAGTCACTAAAATAATAGATAGATATGGATCTAGATATCTAATCTAGATCTAGATGTAGATCTAGTTTGCAACAGTTTTTAGTGCCGAAAAAAGTATTCTCTGCAGGTGGTCTCTGCAAATCTTCAATTTTACCGACATAGATTATCGATCTATATCTAGATCTAGGGTAATATTACCGGTTCGGTCAAAATTTGGACGAAAATATATGTAAAGTGGTTTTCACCATTTATAGCTGTTTTTATGAGTATGTATCTGACCCACTCAACTACACTGGTATCTGACTCTACTACACTGGTGTCTGGCTCACTCAACTACACTGGTATCTGACTCTACTACACTGGTATCTGGCTCACTCAACTACACTGGTATCTGACTCTACTACACTGGTGTCTGACTGTATTACACACTGGTATCTGACTCTACTGCACTGGTATCTGGCTGTATTAAATACACACTGGTATCTGACTCTACTACACAGGTATCTGACTCTACTACACTGGTATCTGACTGTATTACACACTGGTATCTGACTCTACTACGCTCGTGTCTGATTGTATTACACACTGGTATCTGACTCTACTACGCTCGTATCTGACTCTACTACACTGGTCTGACTCTACTACACTGATATCTGACTGTATTACACTGTTTTCTCTGCTGTTTCCTTCCTCCTTCTCTCTAATAATATTAAAATCTAAGCAAAATTTCATATTAATAGCTTTGGGCTAGTTCGGGCACAATGCGTGTCGAAAACTAGTATGTCGAGTTCCGACCGACTTTTTCACTCTGCCTCGCAGCAAGCCAGGTGGAGACAAGCCACGCTGGGTGAATAGGGTTAATCAGAATGTCTGAGCATGATGAGGGTTAATCAGAATGTCTGAGCATGATGTGACGTGTTCATGAGTAAAATAATAAGAAGTGACTATTTCTCCGAACGCTCAGGAAAATAAAGTTGAACTCGTATTTCTCCAAACAGTTTCTGATCTCTCGAGATTTTTTGGTTATTTGCAAGATTTAGGTGTCATCCTTTCATAATTTCATTCTACCATTCTCTCTGCGAGGACTGGGAGGAAGCATTTTTTGCATCTAATTCAATTTTTAGAGCTTGCTAGAGATTTTTAAATGTCTATATTCAGATACTTCAGTTTTGGTTGGGGCAACGTTCCCGGACTATACTTCATTTGAAAATATCTTCAAAAGGTACGGCAAGAAAACAAGACTGCTCGACCTTGGCAGTAACCTATTTTGCATTTAGTCACCCAGCAAAAACTAAAATCCTTCATGTAAAAAAAAATCCCTCCAGGCC